CTAATGATATTTCACCATTAACACAGTTAATTGAAGATTCGGATGACGGTCATACAAAACAATCTAACAACATTGTTCAACACAAGTTAGAAAAATGGGATGCCTATCGAGAATATGAACAACAACAATTAGAATCAATTAATTTATTGACCGAAGAAGAAATGTTAAATATAGATCAATGGTTATTAGAATTGCATCAGGTGTATGAAGAATTACGATATCCGATGTCACGCCGTATTTGGCAAACCATTACTTATTTACAAGATGGAGAACGACTTTGGTATGAACAAGAGAAACAACAAATCAATAATGATTGGCGTTATTTTTGCAAGAAGTTGAAGCAACATATTTATGATCGTTTCAAAAGTAATATTATTTCTTCTACAAAAGATCATAATTTATCTTCTGTTAAGAATGTGACACAAGAGGAACAATTTCCCTCAACTAAGTCTTCATCCATTGAAATTAATTCATCATTATCATCAGCTCTTTCCATAACCATGGCAAGAGAGATTATCAAATCTCCAACATATTTTCGTGGTGCCAAAGATGATGTTATGGAATGGTTAGAAAAATTAGAACAAAGATTTGCAATGGCAAACTGGACTGATGAACTTAAATTACAATATATATCAATTCATTTACAAGAAGATGCTAATCGTTGGTGGAATCAATCATCAACAAAGATTACAAGTTGGTCACATTTCATTGAAGCTATTAAACAAGCTTTTGGTTCAACCAAAATGAAAGAATTAACATTTGAACAATTGCGAACATATAAACAATCGATTAATCAATCTATCACGCAGTATTATGATAAAGTTATCGAATTATGTAAAAGAGTTGATACATCAATGACTGATTCTATGAAATTACAATATTTAATGACAGGTGTTAAACAATCATTAAAATTACATATTGCATTACATGATCCACAATCTCCTGAAGCATTTTTATCTTATGCCAGGAAAGTAGAAGATACATTATCATTAACAACTACAGATTATGATTTGAATTCACACGATAATTATCAGAATACAAGTTACGATCGTCAACCAACAACATCAAACATTAACCCTCGACAAGCTGTTGATTCTCGATGTGTTGATATTCATCAATCCAAACCACAAACTTCTATATCAGGTCATATAAATAATTCTCGTAATAAAAATGTTTCATATTCTAGTTCATCAAATTATACAACGTCAAAAAGACCATCAGGTGTCCGTTATACTTGTGGGACTCCCGGACATTATTCACGGGATTGTGCCCGTTCCCATTTCCATTAATGGAAGCATCGATTGATGGTGTTGCTTCCAAGAATCAATATGAAAACCCATCACAACGTACTTATGTTCCTTTAATTTATCTTAATGCTTATGTTTATGATAAACAAATGAAATTAATGATTGATACTGGTGCTAATCGAACTTTTATCACAAAGAAGGCATTAAATTCGATTCGCAACATCAAAATTATTAATCGAATCCAACGACAAGTGTTTTTAGCTGATGGATATACATCCATCACTGTTTATGGTGAGGTGGATTTATCATTTGTTATGAATAATATTTATACATCAATTCGAGCACTTATTGTGAAGAATCTCTGTGTTAGTTGTATACTCGGTATGGATTATATCATTAAATATAAATTAATTATCAATACTGTTAACCAGACAATATCTATTGGTGTTAAAAATTATCGATTGACTATACCTATCGATAATAGTGAGAAGATTAATTTTGAAACAACTCAAGCATCAAAATTGTTATCAATTGGAATTTCAGTTATGAAAACGAAATCACTTGACACACATATTGATCATTTGGTGGAACATATTAATGATCATGATCAACAACATCAAGTGAGACAAATTCTTATACGTTATAATAAATTATTTGATTCGAAGAAAACAGTTATTGCTTCTAATGTTAAACCCCATGAAATAAAAACAATTGATCATCCACCACCAACATCAAAAGCTTATTATTCTACACCACAAAAACAAGAAGCTATGCACAACATTATTCAGGAATTATTCCAATCTGGTCTTATTCGTCAATCTTATTCTAATTATGCTGCTCCAGCTATGTTAGTTCCTAAGAAAGATAATACGTGGCGCATGGTAGTTGATTATAAAAAGCTGAACAACATCACTATTAAAGATAACCATCCTTTACCTAATATGGAACAAACGATTCAAATATTAGGAGGAGGATATAAATTCTTCTCTAAGTTGGACATGAAAAGTGGTTTTTGGCAAATTCCCATTAAGGAAGAGGACAAACACAAGACGGCGTTTATTACTCCTGATGGGTTATATGAATGGAATGTATTACCTCAAGGTTTAAAGAATAGCCCTCCATCATTCCAACGATTAATGTTAGATTTATTATCTCCGTGTCGACAGTTCGCCTTGGTGTACATTGACGATATTGTGATATTCTCTTACACCTTTGAAGAACATGTTAAACATTTGACACAAGTATTATCTATTTTATCAAGTCACAATTTACAATTAAATTCATCAAAATGCTTTATATTACATCGGCAAATCGATTATTTATCACATACGGTTTCACAGTTTGGAGTGAAACCTAATAAAGAAAAGATTCAAGCAATTATGAATTTACGTGAACCTACAACATTAGCAGCAGCTAACAAATTTATCGGTGGTATTTCCTGGTATCGAAAATTTATACCTCAATTTGCATCTGTAGCAGCACCTATTATCTCAATAACAAATTTAACAAAACCAAATCGAAAGAAGTTCGTATGGGGAACTTCTCAACATGAAGCATTTATTCAATTGAAACAATTATTAATTAATCAACCATTATTTCTTCAATTCCCGAATGATGATTACCCGGTTATTTTAACTACGGACGCATCGAAGGTTGGCATTGGTGGTACATTACAACAAATAATTAATGGTGAAACTAAAAATTTATATTATTATTCTCAAATTACTTCTCCTACTCAGAGGAGATACGATCCAATTGAGCTAGAAGCATTGGCTATATGGGCATGTTTCCGACGTATGCGTTCATATTTATTAGGAAGATCAATTATTATTTACACGGATCACTGCCCTCTATGCAATATGATGAATAAGTCTGTAAAGAACAGACGAGTTGATCGCATCTCTATGTTATTACAAGAATACGATATTGAAAAAATTATTCACATTAAAGGACAACAGAATTGTCTTGCTGATTATTTATCTCGTAATCCAATACAAATTGAACCTGAAGAAATATTTGAAGAAGATTATGGTATTAGTACATTGTTTAATGGGGAACCGCCGGTTTCGGTGTCTGTTTCCGTTGATAAACATCCTGTTTTAGGTGCTGTTGTTACACGTTCAATGAAGAAACAACAAATTCAACAAGAATCTGAATTAGATAAATCTTTATTATCAATTGAAAAAGAACTAGAATCATCTTCATTGGAAAAAATCAAGAATTTATCATCTCAATCACAGCTTAAATCATATACTTGTAATCAATTTGATATAAAACAAATTAAGTTCGAACAAGAAAAAGATCCTATTATTCAGAAAAAGGTCAAAGAAATTCAACAAAATCCTACACGTGGTTCATTTGTTTTGCATGAAGGATTATTATATAAATTGATGCCGATGAATTTACGAAATATTACTAAAATTAGATTAATTTATATACCTTCATCTATGATTAATTCTCTTCTCAAGGCTTATCATTCTGATCCTTTGGGTGCACATTTTGGAATAAGACGTACATATTATAAATTAAAGAATAAATATTGGTGGCCAGATATGAAACAATCTATTACTCGATTTATCAAATCTTGTTTACCATGCCAACAATACAATGTTAGTCGATTTAAAAAACCTGGTTTACTTTGTCCAATTGAAACACCACCTGGACCTTTTCAGTTGATTGGCATTGATTACTGTGGACCATTTAAACGTACTCCAAGAGAAAATCAATATGTATTATGCATTACTGATTATTTTACTCGATGGATCACTGCTGTTGCTTTACCCGATTGCACTGCTCAAACAACAGCTCAAGCAATTTTCAATGAATATATTTGTCGGTATGGTGTTCCCGTATCAATTTTAACTGATCAAGGCACACATTTCAACAACCAATTAATGGAATCAATGGCTCAATTAATTGGATATAATCATATATTATCTACTGTTTACCATCCACAAAGTAATGGAATGGTTGAACGTTTTAATGCCACTTTCGTGCCTCAATTAGCTAAACTTCATGATCGTGAACACAATAATTGGGATGAATATTTACAATCAGTAGTATTTGCATATAATACAGGTATACATGCAGCTACTAATTATTCTCCGTTCCAGTTACAATTTGGCCATGATCCACGTATGCCTACTGATGCAACATCAAATTATGTTTTTTACAAGCCATCAGATTATTACAATCAATTAAAGAAAAGTCTTAGAATTATTCAACAACATGCTCGAAATCAATCAATTTATTCTCATATGAACAATAAAAAATATTATGATAAAAATCGAAGCAATCCACAATATGAAATTAATGATAAAATTTTAATTAGAATTCATGGTTTAAGATCAAAATTAGATCCACATTATACATTGAACCCGAAGATTATCATACAAAGACAACATCCAATATATTGGGTTCGAGATCAATTGAATGATCAAATTACTCGTGTACATGTGAATGATATACGTCCGATATTATTACCATAAAACATTTTTTTCTCTTTCTTCTTTTTTTTTGTTTTGTACGTTTACTGTTATTGTTCACGTTTATGTTTCGCGCCCTCTATCTATTTCTGTATCTTTTCTTTTTTTATTATTCTTAGTTATATGACGATTCGGTTGATTGGAAATTATCCATTATCTTCTTTTCATTCTTCCTCCTCTTCTTTGATAGTGCTTTCCATTATCATATATCTCTGTTTGTTTTTATTATTGATTTTTTTTTTCTTCTGTTGTTTATGTATTTGGTGTTATGCCTTCTCGTTCGCATTCATCTAGTTCCACTTCAAAAGATTCAAATCGTGATTCAAGTCGTAAATCAAAAAGTCGTCATCGTCGTAATGTTCGTTTAGAAGAACAAAACAATAATTATCGACATCATTATCTTCCATTTACTATTCCATCATCATTTTACAATATTGTACATGTCCATCGATTTACTACTATTGATACTATTTCTACACTAATTAATCATTTTGAATCATGTTATAGATATTCAATCGATACGGAATCAGATCGATTTACATATGAATTATCTCTTATTCAAGTTCATTCTATTCCTCAAAAATTACCATCATTTATCGTATTATTTGAACTTCATCATTTTCCTCCATCAGATACATTATTATTTGAAAAAATTAAATTGTTATTTCGTCTTTTATTTCGTTTAGGAAATATCATTTTTTCTTGGGGGCCGATGTCCGACGAATTAATGCCTGCTGTTCGAATGAATTTATTTACATGGCCAGTACCTGCATTATTGTTCAATTTGCAAGATGAATTTTATAGTTGGTATAGAGGGGCACTGCCTCCTTGTGAGGCATGTGGCTCGATTCAATTATCGACTATGATTACGTCTTCAAACTTTTCATGTATTTGTTCAAAACATTCTCCTTATGTTAACCCGGCAGATAAATGGTCATTACAGAATGCTGTTTTTTATACTGTTAATCGCTTTCTTGATAAATCATCAACAAAGAAAAATTGGAGTGTTATGTTAGATCCAAACCATTCGCCATTATCATTATATGAACAACACAAACGAATTAATTATGCAATTTACGATTGCTTTGCCGTCACCTTATTACATCAAGCAATTTATGATAAATGGTCGTTAATTAAACTTCGTGAAGCTCAATTAATATCTTTATTTACTTCAACTGCTCCACCTCATTCGTTATCATTAGCTACATCAACATTTTTGGAAAATATTTCCGACAACGAAAATGAAGTAACATCAACATCTTTACCGATTTTAAATGCTCCACGTCATTCATCATCATTACCATTATCAACTTTATTCGAAGACATTTCTGAAGATGAAAGTGAGGATGAAATATTTATGTCATCCATTTCTAGACATTATGGTACACATCAAGCAGTTAATACAACTCGCCATGTTGAGATTCTTCCTGCTGTAGCTCATGATGATGATGTTATAGAACCTATTGCATCTGATCAAGAATTATCTTCTAATGAACCACCTAAATTACGTCGAAATTGTCGTTCATCATCAGCACGAACACGTCGTAATCGCAAACGAAACATGGTCAAACGTCTACATCGTGATCAACATATTATTTATCGCAAAGTTTATCACCGATTCAATATTCGTCAGATAAAGAACATCCTTCGTGCTCGTAATGTTCGATATGTCCATTTAACACTTCACAAATCGTCACAAGTCTTATCAATTGGAATGAAAAAACCTTCTCTGGTGGACTTATACTTTGATCGATTACCTGGTGATTTATTTGATAAAGAACATTATCAACATTATCGTCAAAATGAACATTAAAAAAAAAAAAAAAAATTCTTTTTTTTTGAAGTTTTTCTCTTTTTTGTTATTCAGTTGTCTTTCTTTGAATCTAGTCAGATTCTTTTCTGTTGTTGATTTTTTTTTCTTCTGCAAGTTTTTCTCTCGTTGTTTGAAAAACTTTTTGGGGGGTAAGGGTGTCAGGACCTGACCTCTATTGTCATTCCATTTGTCTTTCCATTCGA